TAAAGTATAGTAGTTCAGACTGATTTGCTGATAGTCTGCTAGTCTAGCGATTGTCATATGGATCCTGAAATAGCTTACCCCTCATCACTTCAGTTTTTTAAGTGGGTATGTAATATGCTGTTATTATTTCTTTTTTTTAAAGATTTTTAAAATTTATTTATTTGAGAGAGAGAGAACACAAGCGGGGGAAGGGGCAGAGGGAGAGAGAGAGGGACAAGCAGACTCCCCGCTGAGCAGGGAGCCCAACATGGGGCTCGATCCCAGGACCCCAGCATCATGACCTGAGCCGAAGGCTGACACTCAACTGACTGAGCCACCCAGGCACCCCTGCTCTTATTATTTCTTATAGTAACCTCAAGTGATCGGCATAGAAAGCTTTATTTTCAACAATTCCACTCTTTGTCATTGCCATTCTTTCAACAAAACTAAGGTTTATAAAAGAGACTTGTTTACACAACAGAGATATATTCCTTTTGCCAACAACTATCACTTTCAGAAGTTGACTGCCTTTATTGTTAATAATCTATAATATCTACCATTAGTTTTATAGTACATTAGAATTTTATTTAACTTAGCTGTGAATGCCTTTATATTTATTTAGATGAACACGTGGAAATTAAAGATAAAAAGCTCAGTCACATTCTTTTTTTTTTTTTTAAGATTTTATTTATTTATTTGACAGAGAGAGAGAGACACCGAGAGAAGGAACACAAGCAGGGGGAGTGGGAGAGGGAGAGGGAGAAGCAGGCTTCCCGCCGAGCAGGGAGCCCGACGTGGGACTCGATCCCGGGACCCTGGGATCATGACCTGAGCCGAAGGCAGACGCTTAACGACTGAGCCACTCAGGCGCCCCTCAGTCACATTCTTATGTTACAGTTTGTAGTCAAGCAATTTAACATTGATTTTCTTATTTATTTATTTTTTATTTTTATTTTTTTAAAGATTTTTTTCATTTTTAAGTTATCTCCACACCCAATGTGGGGCTTGAACTCACAACCCTGAGATCAAAGGTCGCATACTATACTGACTGAGACAGCCAGGCCCCCCTTGATTTTCTTATTTTGCAAAATGGCAGAGAGATACAATCCACTCTTAATATTTCCAGGACTAATTATTCCAACCATTCATCATAATAGGTCTTTTTTTCTTCTTTTACTCTCAGCAGTTACCTGCCTTTGGTCATTTCAATAAATTATTAAAAAATAGTCCATTTTGCTAGGAAAATAGGTGACTAAGGGAAGAGATTGATGATAGAGGATATATATGAATTTTTTTATTATCAATAAATTTCTACTATTTAGAGAAAATGGCTATATTGTTTCTATATTTTTATTTTTTAAAGTAAAATACTTATATATGACATTTGTCGCAATTTATTTTTTCTCCTTCCATAGTTTTTTCAATGTGTTATTTTGATTCAGGCACATAAGGGGATAATTCTAAACAAGTAGAGCTATCTGAAAGTTCTTAGATGTAAGCTATAATTAGCCCTTGCTTATTTTAAAAATGGCCCTTTCCATGCATTATATAAATAATTGCAAAACTAATTAATCATGCTTAACCCTTGTTTTCTAAGGTCACAGCAGCACAGGAATAATTGAGGGTTGTATATTGAGTTCCAATTAAGGAGATACTTGGCTGAAACTCCAACAGAGCTTTTTTCTGACTTCTCTTTTCCTTCCTTTGCTACTTTTAATTTTTAGGGATTGCACGCAATGTGGCAGGGACTGCAGGATTTGGGGAATTGATAAAGCTGAAGACTTTTACTAAGTCCCTGCTTGACACTACCGTAAACATCCCATCTGCGGTGTATCACTTCTTTCTGGCCACTTAAAGATCTGTGATCCCTGGCACCATGCCATGCTCATCTGGCCTCCCCACCCCTGATAAAAAGTGGTCTTCTTGCTGAATGAAAGTTCCTTCAGCTCTTCAAGCTCCCCTTTCCCACTGGAGGATAGAAGGGAGGATCTCAAAGCATTGTTTCAGCTCCATGATCATATAGTTTCATGTAGAAAATATATGTGAGAAATGTTTGAAATCTAACCTTTTTAAGTGATGGGTTTTTAGAAAGAGCTGTACTAAATAAAAGGAGCAAAATATAATTCATTTCAGTCCCATAGCCAGGAGCAGGGTATAAGTTGTGGAGATGAGTCTTAAGGAAGGTGGATTCAACAGGAAGAGAGTGGGGATGGTCTGAGAGGGAAGTGCCACGTTTGAAATTGGCTTCACAGTGCCTTCTGAAGGGAGAATGGAAATGTGAGGAAGCCATGGGCCCACTGAGCATATGATCCTGACTTGCTGAACAGCGGAAAAGAAAAAAGAACGTGATAGAAGGAAGGAGTAAGGTACCATGAGAGATGAGACAATGCTGTAAGAAAGCCAGGAAATAGAAGCTCTCTTACTTAAATCAGGACATTTCCAAGAAGTACTGAAGACTGTCTGTTAAAGTGATAGGACTTAGTTATTTTAATTATTAGCTTGGGCGAGTTTCCACTAGTAAACTTTTTTTTTTTTTTTTTTTGCTAAAGTTCTTCTCTGACTCATGGTACATATTTTTATTACTTATTCTATACTGGCTTTATGTATGAAGCCCCCATTAATGCATTAGAATTTTGCATATTGAATGAGCTTCAAATATTCTGTAGAATCCTACTCTATAATTAAATGTGGTTTAGAAGGGAACATAGACACTTATGCATATAACTTGTTCTTAAGATGTCATTATCATTGGTTACCATTGGCAGTTAGTCATTTTAATTAGATATTAATATTCAGAGATTTTAAAGTATTACAAATCTCTAGGCTTCAAAATGGGAAAGGGAATAGAGCTTAGATTATTTGGTTTTGCCTACTAAGATGTTGGTTGAATTTAAACTAAAAACCATACAATTTCAACTTTTTTTTTTAAAGATTTTATTTATTTATTTGACAGAGAGAGACACAGCGAGAGAGGGAACACAAGCAGGGGAAGTGGGGGAGGGAGAAGCAGGCTTCCCGCAGAGCAGGGAGCCCGATGCAGGGCTCGATCCCAGGACCCCGAGATCATGACCTGAGCCGAAGGCAGACGCTCAACAACTGAGCCACCCAGGCGCCCTGACAATTTCAACTTTTACTGTTTTCGAGGCTACTAACAACTCAGATTAACTCCAGAATCTTTGCACAATATGAAGCCAGATTAGCCAGTGAAATTGTAATTTTGAAACTTAGCCTCAGATTCTGTCAAATGCTGGTGAGATCATCTGAACAGAGCAGCCATTAAAAAAAAAAATTAGGAGATGGATGGGGAAAATTGAATACTGACTGGATAATTGTTATTAAGGAATTATTGTTAATTTTTAGGTGAGATAATGGTAGTGTGTGCATGTACTTTTTAAAAAGTAATCTCTACATCCAACATGGAGCTCAAACTCACAACCCCAAGATCAAGAATCACATGCTCCACCAATAGAGCCAGCCAGGTGCCCCTGTATGTATGTATTTTTTAAAAGTCATCATCATTAGAGATATAAATGGGAAGGGGAATGGATAAGAGTTAAATGAAATAAGATTGGCCACGTAATGATAACTGTTGAATCTGAGCAATGCTTATATGGGTGTTCATTATACTACTTGCTCTATCTACTTTTGTATATGTTTGAACTTTTAAAAATAGTAAACAGTTTAAAATTTTAATCAAAACTTTCACTTGTATTTGTGAATTTTAAGAAGACCAGGCTTTTCTAACCGAGAAAAATTCTAACCCTTTCTAGTTTGTCTTTTAAAAAAGGGCAATACCAGTAGGAAATCAAGTCCATAGTGCCCACAATGCTTTTTATTTATTTATTTTTTGTTAACATGACCTGATTAATTTTATTGCATTCAATATTTCTTTTTTTAATTAAAGAATAATTGACATACAATATTGTATTAGTTTCAGGCATACAGCATAGTGACTCCATATTTGCATACCTTATTAAATGGTCACCGCAATAAGTAGCAATCAAGGAGACAGTGATGTTAGAAATGGCTATCAGGAGTTTCCCTAACTCCACCAGAACTAAGCACACAAGAGCCATTTCTGCCAAGCACTGGGCACTACAGGAAGACAGTCTTACACTGTGAGGACTGTGTGTAAATATTAAAAAATCAACTTGGAAAAAAAAAACTTAATTGGGTTGAGACTTCATGTGAGGGCTAATCCAAGGGAAATAGGAGTCCAGGGTACCCATTTTGCAATTCCTTTTTAGATTTGCATGTGCGTGTATGCTCATGGTTCCCATCCAAGTGACCAGATCTAAGTAAGACACATATAAGGAGCCTTTTGCCTCTAGAATGCAATAATAATTACAGTCAAATCATTTGTTATGTCATGCATTTAATTACTATTTTTTAAATAAGTTGCTTCCAAGATGGATAGGATTAATCTCAATAATGATTGCAAATAGATTTCCTGCTATCAGTGTTTTAAAGGATGGTGAGCATAAAATAGTTGGTATAAATTTGCTTTTTCACATGTGGTTTTTATTTTTTTTGAGCCCTTAATTATTTTGGATGCCTTTAGGGATAACTTCGTTGCATTTTATGTTGCAAATAATGGTTATCTCCTTATCACTTTCATCACTGTCATATGTCATGATATCACTGCTGCTCACATTGTCACAGGATACATTGTCTCTGTAATCTCCCTCATGAAAGGACTTGGAAAAAGATTTCACTTCATTTGGAAAAGGTGAGTTTTGAGCATTTCTGTCCTTTGTCTCAGAAATATTGAACAAAGTCTCAGAAGAATTTCGGCAAACTAGCCATTTTTCCGTATAGCATTGACAAATCTTGATTAACAGAGGCCTAGATAACATGCCTGCCTTACCTGTACTAACTGACCTTTTTAGATTACGATGTCTAGGGGATTTGGTGAGTTTCTGTAAACTGGATCGCCTGGGTGACAAGATTTGCTTTTGTGAACGGGATGGCTTGGTTGGCCTTACTGGATATTGTAGACTGGCTGGCCAAGGTGGCCTCACTGCCTTATTTGGATAGGATGAACAGGCCTGGCCACCTAGCTTACAGGCATGAGCTAGCTTATGTGGCTTTTCTAGATTATGTGTTCTATATGACTTCCCTGGGTGGGTTGACCTGAATATTTTTTGTGGGCTTGATGGCTTATGTAACTTTTCTTGACTTGATAGGCTGTTTAACTTTTCTTTACTAGATGATATACATTGCTTTCCTGGACTCGAGGGCCTGATTAGCTTTTCTGCGCTGGATGGTCTGGATGAGTTTTCTGGATTTGAGGGCCCAGAAAACTTGTCTCTACTAGCTAGCATGGATTGTTTTTCTAGGCTGCATGGACTGGCTATCTTGTGTTCACTGAATGATATTTTGGATGATCTGGATGACTTGGCTGTCACATCTTCTTTCTTGAGCCTGAAAATATAGAAAATTTGGAATATGGCATCTTAAAACAAAAGAGTACAATTGCTGTCACCAGAAAACACAGGCTACTATGTCAGTTTAGACTTATTGGTATTTTTTTAGCTCTGGTAGAAAAATTGAACACAGTAAGAATTGGAGTATGGTAAAAGTCATGACTTGGGTTATAGATATGAACTCATGCTGAATACTTTTTATTTTTCTTGAGAGTATATTTCAGATGCATTAGATAATCATATAGCCTACGTATGGAATGACACGAAGTTGTTTCAAGTCTACTGTTGAGAAGGAGAGAGAGCTTCACTTATTCTAGAAATTAAACTTTAAAAAAAGTCGCAGGTTGGGGGTACCTGGGTGGCTCAGCCAGTTAAGCATCTGACTTTGGCTCAAGTCATGATCCCAGGGTCCTAGATGGAGCCCTTCGTCAGGCTCCCCGCTCACCAGGGAGTCTGCTTCTCCCTCTCCTACCCACCCCCTGCCCCATGCTCTTTCTCTCAAATAAATAAAATCTTTTTTTAAAAAAGTCACAAGTTGATATGCAGCTCATAGACAACTGTCACAACTTGTCATCAGGAAAGAATAAACTCTTTAGACCATATTCACTGTTTCCTTCCTATCATATTTACACCATCAAGTTATCTATCCATGCATACTTATATCCACAATATTCCTCTAAAACTAAAGGAATAGAGCACTGGTGTATTTTAGTCATCAGTCCTTATATTGGAAAATTTTTAGGGAACCGCTATATCAGGGCCAGCCTGATTCTCCTATGTGAAAGGCAGGGAATGAGACAACGAGAACAACAGTGAATAATTTTTGCTATTATGTCTTAAAATGGTAGATTATCCAAAATGTTTTATTGTTTTTGGAATGCAGAGACCCAACTCCCTCTCTCTCCCCTTCTTTATTTTCTTTTCAAAATTTTTTTTTATTTTTTTAAAAGATTTTATTATTTATTTGACAGTGAAAAGAGAGCACAAGCAGGGGGAGTGACAGGCAGAGGGAAAGGGAGAAGCAGGCTCCCCACCGAGCAGGGGGAGCCCTATGTGGGACTTGATCCCAGGACCCTGGGATGATGACCTGAGCGGAAGGCAGTCGCTTAACCAACTGAGCCACCCAGATACCCTCTTTTCAAATTATTTATTTAAATTCTAGTTAGGTAACATACAGTGCAATATTGGTTTCAGTCTCTCCCCTTCTTTATTCTCCCTATCTTATTCGGATAGTCAAGCCCTCTTTTCCTAGACTCAATTTATAATGAAATTAATAGCCTGGGGCTCAGCTGAACCCTCAGTAAGAGATAGCTTTAGAATACGCTAAAATTGATAATGTACTTGAGAATATTTAAGAGCTGATATTATTGAAGTGAAGGTATCCACCCACAAGATGAACTCTTTAGAAGTCTGGGGTTAACATTAAGTAACCACAACAGCAATGAAATCTCCACTATATGTTTACACACAACTTGCATTCTTAATTTAAGGGTGTAAAACTTACGTTCCTGCTTTGGGTGCCTCGTCGCTCATACAGTTGTAATGGAGAAAACAAAAACAGGTAAAGACAAAAGCTATGATCATAATACCAATTATGATAACAAGTAGACGTCTCCTAAAGTTGTCCATTTCAGTCTCCATTGATTGAACGTGCTTAGCTCCTGTCCAAGAGGTTGTTTCACCAGAAAATGTGTTATCTTCCGTTTGATAGTGGTTTGCCACTAAAGGTCAAAATCAAATCTTTTTATCAGTGATTTTTTAAAGCATGATAAGTGTTCCACTGTCATTTTCCTCCATCACATCCCCAGCCACAGTCTAGATGCCAAATCTCTGGCTAATCAGTACAATTACCTTGGTTACCCCTGCATCATGGTTTGCTCACCCCATTACCTAGGTTTTTGAGTGTATGTATGTCTTGCACATGTGAATGCACTTGAGTGTTAATGTTTGTGTGTGAATGTATATGGTGGAAAAGGGGATAGGACAAGAAAAAACTCTTGTTGAAGCCTACTATATGTTAGGTACCATACTAGATTAGTTGAGAGCAGGGGTTGGTGGATTTGGGTGGGGAAGGGGAGTGAAGGGGGACAATATGTCTGTACCCTATGCTTCTGTGTTGCTTGGATTTTTCACACAGAAGTAAAACTCTCAGGTGTTTTCCTATAAATTCTTCTTTTCCTATTTTTTTATTATGTTAATCACCATACATTACATCATTAGTTTTTGATGTAGTGTTCCATGATTCATTGTTTGCATATAACACCCAGTGCTCCATGCAGAACGTGCCCTCTTTAATACGCATCACCAGGCTAACCCATCCCCCCACCCCCCTCCCCTCTTGAACCCTCAGTTTGTTTTTCAGAGTCCATAGTCTCTCATGGTTCGTCTCCCCCTCCGATTCCCCCCCTTCATTCTTCCCCTTCTGTTATCTTCTTCTTCTTCTTCTTTTTTTTAAACATATAATGTATTATTTGTTTCAGAGGTACAGATCTGTGATTCAACAGTCTTGCACAATTCACAGCGCTCACCATAGCACATACCCTCCCCAATGTCTATCACCCAGCCACCCCATCCCTCCCACCCCCCCACCACTCCAGCAACCCTCCGTTTGTTTCCTGAGATTAAGAATTCCTCATATCAGTGAGGTCATCCTATAAATTCTTAAAGACCTACTAATGGTAACATCCAAGAAACAGCAGATTTCTTAAACACAGCTAGCTTGTCTAATTAAGGCTCAATTACATAATATAATAGATCCTAATTTCTAAGTTTTAAGGTTAGGCACATACCTGTAGTAGAAGATCCATCACTTTGGTTTGTATTTAAACAACTGTTTGTCCAAATGGACAAAAATAGGACATAAATAAAAAGATTCATGTCCAGGGATTTGTTCAAATGTTTCTTCTACCAAGGAAACTGCTGTCTTTGATAGGGCTCAGCCTGTTCTAGGAGTTTATGACATCATTATCATTTTGTGTCATAGTCTGACAACATAATCTCACCATGGAGAAGCCCAAGCTTCTGTGTATAAATACTGTCAAATGATTTTTAACAGTTTATTTCTCCACATCAGATATTCTATTAAATTCAAATCAAGAAGGTTGGGGCATTATTAAAAGCGTAGAGGGAGATATTTAGAGAAGATAGGGAAAATGGGATTGCTTTAGATATTGAAGAACTATTTCTCCTTATTAAATGGTAAGGGGGCACTTTTCAGCCTTGTAGTAATTCTTAAGTGTTATATAGGGGTTAAATCATCCTGGGGTATAAGTCTGTAGGATTTTTTTTTTGTTAACAAAATTAAGATATTATAAAACAGTAGTAGTTAAAACAGTATGGTACTGGCATAAAAATAGACACACAGATTCAATGGAATAAAACAGAAAACCCAGAAATAAACCCACAATTATGTGGTCAATTAGTCTTTGACAAAGGAGGAATGACTATACAATGGGAAAGCGGGACAACCACATGCAAAAGAATGAAACTGGACCACTTTCTTTCACCATACACAAAAATAAACTCAAAATGGATTAAAGACCTAAATGTGAGACCTGAAACCATAAAAATCCTTGAGGAGAGCACAGGCAATAATCTCTCTGACAATGGCTATAGCAACACTTTTCTAGATGTGTCTCCTGAGGCAAAGGAAATAAAAGTAAAAATAAACTATTGGGACTACATCTAAATAAAAACTTCTGTACAGTGAAGGAAACAATAAAAACAAACAAAAAACCCTTAAAAGTCAACCTACTGAATGGGAGAAGATATTTGCAAATGATTTATCCAATAAAGGGTTAGTATCCAAAATATATAAAGAACTTAGACAACTCAACACCCAAAAAACAAATAATCCAATTAAAATATGGGCAGAAGACATGAACAGACATTTCTCCGAAGAAGACATACAGATGGCCAATAGACACATGAAAAGATGCTCAACATCACTCATCATTAGGGAACTGCAAATCAAAACCACAATGAGATATCACCTCACAGCTGTCAGAATGGCTAAAATGAAAAACACAAGAAACAAGTACTGGCAAGGTTGTAGAGAAAAAGGAACCCTCTTGCACTGTTGGTGGGAATGCAAATTGCTGCAGCCACTGTGGAAAACAGTTTGGAGGTTCCTCAAAAATTAGAAATAGAACTACTCTACAATCCAATCATTGCACTACAAGGTATTTCCCCCCCAAAATACAAATACACTAATTCGAAGTGATACAAGCACTCCTATGTTTGTTGCTGTATTATTTACAATAGCCAAACTATGGAAGCAGCCCAAGTGTCCATTGATAGATGAATGGATAAAGAAGAGGTGGTATATGTACACAATGGAATATTATTCAGCCATAAAAAAAATGAAATCTTGCCATTTGCAATGATATGGATGGAGCTAAAGAGTATAATCCTAAGTGAAATAAGTCAGTCAGAGAAAGACAAATACCATATGATTTCACTCATATGTGGAATTTAAGAAACAAAACAAATGAACAAAGAAAAATAAGGCAAACCAAGAAACAGACTCTTAACTATAGAGAACAAACTGATGGTTACCAGAGGGGAGTTAGGTGGGGGGATGGGTAAAATAGGGGATGAGGATTAAAGAGTACACTTATCATGATGGAAAAAAATAATAAAATGATAAAAAAGGGTGAAAGGAAAGTAACAATTACAATTCATATCGAGGTTTGGTATGATACAGAGAATCTCATCTTTTCCTCAAGATCTCATCTTTTCCTTGTGAACTATTAAGTTTCAGAGAACCCAAAACTATTCTTTTATAATACAGTAACTTTTTTTTCACTTAAAAATAAATTGTAATGGGGTGCCTGGGTAGCTCAGTCAGTTAAGTGTCTGACTCTTGATTTTGGCTCAGGTCATGATCTCGGGGTCCAGCCCTGCATGGGGCTCTGCGCTGGGTGTGGAGCCTGCTTAAGATTCTCTTTCTCCCTCTGACCCTTCCCCCAAATTGTAATAATTAGTGAATGCCAGTGAAAATAATGATGTCTGTGGTTAATATAAGGCAGTAAAGATTAGAAATCAGTGTTCTTTTTTTAAAAAGATTTTATTTATTTATTTGAGAGAGAATGAGAGAGAGAGAGCACGAGAGGGGGGAGGATCAGAGGGAGAAGCAGACTCCTCGCTGAGCGGGGAGCCCAATGCGGGACTCGATCCCAGGACTCCAGGATCATGACCTGAGCTGAAGGCAATTGCTCAACCACCTGAGTCACCCAGGCGCCCTAAAAAAGATTTTATTTTTAAGTAATCTCTATACCCAACGTGGGGTTCAAACTCACAACCCTGAGATCAAGAGTTGCATGCTCTATTGACTAAGCCAGCCAGGCGCCCCTAGACCTCGGTGTTCTTAATGCTTTGAAATTAATGTTGAAAAGCTGAAATTCATTCTTTTGATTAACTTGACTGCCACACTGAGCATATCTGTGTATTGCTCCCTTAAAATGTTCAATATTTGGATGCTGATTAGAAGCTGTCTGTATTCAACTCCTCTGTTGTTAATTCTGAAGTGTTATTTACACATTGTTATGGTGCATCTTACCTTGGTTCCTTTCTCTGTTTATTAAATCTACCATTTGACAGAATAAACACCAGGTAAATCAAAGAGGTGCCTTTGTTCTGTGTGGTTATTGTGCAAAGCGATTACGGCTGCTGCCACAAGTCTCCAGAATAAAACCTGACTCTGAGCAAGTATAAAACTCTAGGGACAAGCATAACCCTACCCAGAGTGGCTATCTATATTTTCCAATGTACAAGTCCCCAAATACACTATTTGAAAGGCAATTTAATGTTTTGGCAAAAAAAAAATGAATATTACTGAGGGATTGGGTCTTGTCAATTTTCCTAAGCCACAATAACCACTCACAAAATTTAAGTTTTCTTTTTTAAAAAAGATTTTATTTATTTATTTGAGAGAGAGCGAATGTGAGTATGAGAGAGTGAGAGAGGGCACAAGCAGGGGGAAAGGGTAGAGGGAGAGGGAGAAGCAGACTCCCGACTGAGCGATCCCAGGACCCCGAGATCATGACTTGAGCCAAAGGCAGATGCTTAACCAGGAGCCCCAAAATTTAAGTTTTCAAATAAAATAATTGAAATTAACTTTTCCTACCTCTTATACTTCAGTAACCTTATTTATCTGTCAGGAAAAAAAATTAAGGTTTGAATAGTCCCTTAACCTTTTTTTTTTTAAGATTTTATTTATTTATTTGAGAGAGAGAATGAGATAGAATGAGCATGAGAGGGGGGAGGGTCAGAGGGAGAAGCAGACTCCCTGCTGAGCAGGGAGCCTGACGCGGGACTCGATCCTGGGACTCCAGGACCATGACCTGAGCTGAAGGCAGCCGCCCAACGAACTGAGCCACCCAGGTGCCCCATCCCTTAACCTTTTTATTGAGCTACTGCTAACCATCAAGCTGAAGCTCAGTCCAATCATTCATTTATTCAGCAAACATTTATGGAGTGTTCCTATAATGCAGATACCATGCTTAATGCTGCAGATCCCAAAATAGGCAAGATAAAAATTCCTGTACCCCTGGAACTTATATTCCAGTAGAGAATAAAAGTAATTACAAGATAGTGTGAAGTGGGCTATATTAAGACTAAGCACAGTCCTCGGGGAGAGAAAGAGCATTCTAACAATGATTGGAAAGTATGGATTAGAAGGGAACTCAGTTTGTTGGGGAGACCACTAGGAAGAAGAGAGAAGATGGTTACTAAAATTGAGGTACTAAGGATAGAGATAAATGGATGAATTTTTAGAACTATTAAAAGAGATTAAATTGACATGATTTGGTTTGTGACTGTTCAAGGGAAGGAAAGGGAAGAGTTGAGGATAGCTCAGAATTCTGGCTCAAATAACTGAGTGATTATTGGTCCTATTCATTGAGACAGAGGACACAGGCGAAGTTGGAGCTTTGAGGAGAATGGGGGTAGTAGAAGTTGATGAGTTCAGTTTGGGTTATGTTGAGCTTAAGGTTTTTATGCGATATCCAAGTACACATGTCCAGAAGCCAGTTAAATATATGGACTTGAAGTTCAGAAGATGGATTCCAGGTGGGAGTCATCAGCATCTAGAACAGGCTTCTTAACACTTTTTGTGCCATTGGCAGTCTGGGGAAGCCTGTGAACCCTGTTTCAGAATAATATTTTTAAATGTACAAAATGAAATGCATAGGATTATAAATGAAGTGAATTATACTGAACTAGTTATCAAATACAAGAATTGTGATGTAATAATACATGTAATTATTGACTCATTAAAGAGATCTAGTGGTGGATCTAATAACTACTATGAACTGAAATAATGATAAGCATAAAAAATATTTTGAGATACTTGTAACAAATAATATATTAAACTATATATGATTTCTAATAATGGCAAAGTCACAGACTTTGGTTATACTACCTTGGTTTGTTGCCTGCATTCATAATTGGGAGAAATACTAAATTTTCATTAGAGATTGGTGAAAATAAAAAATCTGTTTCTACCCATTCAAGTTTACAAATTGTCTGAATTTGATTCATGTACCCAAGTCAGAAATCCAGTCTAGAAGCTAACTGAAGCCCATTGGAATGGATGTGATCAACCCAAGGAGAGAAGGTAGAGAGGGAAAAGTGCCTAGGACCAAACCCTGAGGAACCTCAACATTTAGAAATTGAGTAAAGGAGGCTGATCTAGCAAAGAAAATCAAGAAAATCCATGTGATTTCACTCATATGTGAAATTTAAGAAACAAAACAAAGGAGCAAAGGGGGAAAAAAGGAGAGAGGCAAACCAAGAAACAGACTCTTAATTCTAGAGAACAAACTGATGGTTACCAGAGGGTGGGCGGTGGAGGGATGGGTGAAATAGGTGATAGGGATGAAGGAGTGCACTTGTGATGAGCACCTGGTGATGTA